TTTTTGATGGAAAAAAAAAAGTGTCATGCCTCATGCCCCACAGGTCAATTAGCGATTGGGCATTTTTTTTTGGTCAAAAGCAATTGATTACAAGTGAATAATATGGTCCTTAACATAGAAAAAATGATAATAATTGAAACTCACAAATCCCACTTCCATTAATCATTTGTTATCAGTCGAGAGAAATCCAAATAATAATAATAATAATAATAATAATAATAATGAAAACGGCAATCCTATTTAAACGGATGGCCGTAAGGTGCAAAAAGGATCCCGTAAATAACATCTCGTTTTAACTTCCCCCACCTCTCTCTCCCGCTTCAACTTCCGCTCTTTTTCAGTTTTCTATTCATTCGGGCATAATATATCCAAAAACGCCGCCAGCAATGCCATTTTCGTAATTCCAATTCCTAACAAAATTTCCCTTAAAAGAACACCCTTTCTCTTACTTTCTATCTTTCTGCTCTTCTTCTCTGTTTGCAAAAATATGGCGAGTACTTGGAGAAAGCTGAAGAAATCTCTGATTCCGAAAATCTCTATCAACCACCACCACAGCCGCTCCTCCTCTTCCAGTTCCTCCGCCAACGGCATTGCTGCTTCGCCTTCCTCTTCCCTCTCTCGCTCTTCCTCTCTGCTCTCTTACAGCTTCAGCTTCCGATCTTCTAAGGTCATTTTTTTGCCTCTTTCATTTTCTTTCTCACTTCGAATTTGTTGTTATTGTTGCCTTTCTCGCTTTGGCCGTGACTTGACCGCCGGTTCCCACTGAGTTTTTTTTTTTTTAATCCCGGCGGATGAGTGAATTTTGGTTGCCGCGAAAAAACCGGGAGTTCAGTTTGCCTAACCGAATTAAGTTTATATGCTGATTGACTGAATTACCCTGCTGATATCTCATTTTTTCTATTTGTTTTGTTATGCCAGTGAGGGTATACGGGTAAATTTGCATGTGAAGGATGATAATTAGGCCACGTCTTGTTTATCGAGTGATTATTGGAGTTAAAAACGGTGTTTAGAGTCAACCTCGATATGGGAATAAATTACGGATTATGCCACGATTGTTTTTATCTACTGTGAAATAGTATTTGACTGTGAACCTCAATGCAATAATGTTCACCTTTTTTTTTAATTGTAAAATAACGGTGTCGATCACTTAAAGTGACATTATTGCTCACATTTATTCGTTGGTCTGGTTGGTGACTGGTGATGTAAAAATTTCAGAGTTACTAAAATGTGCCTTAGGTTATGTAGCTTTTAAATCGTACCAAAAGGAAGTTGCTAAATTTGTTGATAGTTTTTTTGGTTGGCCGATTTGTACGGCTTGAATTCACACAATAATTCAAGATAACACCTAGGTGCTCGACCCTACGTTTTAGGTGCATGTAAGCCTAAACTAAAATAATTGAATTGGAATTTTCAGTCTCTCGATTTATTATCGAGGAAAAATAATGAAAACACAACTTGCATTTGAAATGATAAAATTGTTTTCCTTTTTTGGGATTCGCTAACATGGAAAAAATTTTCATTAAGTGTGTCTTTAATAGAAGAAAAACTTTGAATATCTTTCCGTATTTTGGCTAGTGAAAATAATGGGTGTGGCCAGTTGTCCATGCAGAAATCATGCATTGAATAATTGTTCCGATTTAGTTTATTCACCATGAGCCGGAAACGGTTCTAGACTTGATAGTATTAATTAAAGTGCCTGGTTGGGAGTTTTAGGTAACTTCATGCTTCCAAAGTTGTTGGGATTCAGTCTGTTATTTTTTGTCAATTTAGAGGTGACCAACTTTTGAAAAATTGAAGCAGTGGTGTTTTTATGTGTTTGGTGTATACGTTGGTCTTAATGGTGACTTTGCACTCATGTCTCGTAATTAATTTCATGACCCTTCTTAACGCTACATCAAATTGTGCCTGCTTCCTTATCCCCGAACCCCGTCCGAAAGGAAATGAGATGTTGAACTTTTGCTCGTTCCTAAATCCATGTTTATGAATTGAAATCCCACCATAAGTTAATAGATTCAACTCATAATCGGTTTCCAGCTGGATTAAATTGTTTTTATTCTTAAGCATGTAGTGTTTGCTTTTTGGACTGCTTGTTTTTTATTTAATACTTGTCCAACTTAAGTTATCCTACAGGTATAAGAACCTTTTTTTAATGAAAGGTAAAGGTATAAGACCTTTTATGTTGTGGAAGTTCATATGAAGTTAAGGTAATTTATTGTTGATATTAGCTATCTGGTGAAACGAATACTATATACCATGCATCATATTCTTCATCTTTTACACCTATTCCTCTCTCTTTATCGGTTCAGAAGATTTGTGCAATTTGCTTGGGAAGCTTGAAAAAGGGAGAAGGCCAGGCCATCTTCACAGCCGAGTGCTCTCATCCTTTCCACTTCAATTGTATTGCAACCAACGTGCAGCATGGAAATCGCATTTGCCCCATTTGCCGCTCTGAATGGAAAGATATCCCTTTCCAAGCACCTTCAAATGCTGCTGATTCCCGGCACAATAACAGCACGAGCCGAGCCCAAGTGTCTCCCTATAATGCTCCACTTGAAGATACTTTTGTATCTGGCGTCAATCATAATTTACTGCAATCAACCCTGCCTCAATTTGAACCTGACTACTTTTCTGATGATGAACCGATTCCAGCCATCCATGCAGGCCCTGCATCCTCCACTCGTCCACAAACCATAACCATTAAGGCATTGCCAGAATTTCCTGCTGTCTTAGCTTCAGATGCTGCGTCCAAGTTTGCTGTTCTTGTTGGCATCCGTGCTCCACCTTTTCATGTTGATGTTCAAGAATTTGACCGTGCATCCATCGACCTAGTTGCTGTGCTTGATGTTAGCGGCAGCATGGCTGGCAAGCTTGCCCTTCTTAAGCGTGCTGTTTGCTTCATCATACAAAACTTGGGCCCTTCAGATCGGTTATCCATAGTTACTTTCTCATCATCAGCTCGCAGGATGTTACCGTTGCGAAGGATGTCCGGCAGTGGTCATGATGATGCTATCCGTGTCATCAATGCCCTTACCTCTAGTGGTGGGACAAACATAGTGGAAGGTCTAAGGAAAGGGGTTAAGGTTCTTGAAGAGCGACGTGAGCAGAATCCCATTGCAAGCATTATCCTCTTATCTGATGGCCATGATACAGTAAATGGTGATACTTACAGACTATACCGCAGTGTACAGAATCACACTTTAAATCCAAGGCACAATTTGCAGTATCTTTACCTCCTGCCTCCTTCAATTTGTCCCAGGAATAGTGCATCTGGGGATGAGTCGCGGCAGCTTACCATCCCAGTCCACACATTTGGATTTGGTTCAGAACATGATTCTAATGCAATGCATGCCATATCAGATGTATCAGGTGGCACTTATTCCTTTATCGAGTCAATTGACATTTTACAGGATGCATTTGCTAGATGCATTGGTGGTCTTCTCAGTGTCGTAGCTCAAGATGTCCAACTAACAATACAATCGATTTCTCCTGGAGTGCAAATTGGTTCAATTCCCTCTGGGAGATATAAGAGTGAAATCTTTTCTCAAGGGCAGAAAGCTATTATTTACGTCGGAAGTTTATATGCAGATGAAGAGAAGGAATTCCTGGTATACCTCTCAATTCCAGCATCAACATATGCTGATGGTGAGAAAAAGTTGGATAACATGTTATTGTTGGATGTCTTGTGCTCGTACACGTATTCAACAACAATGGAGATCTTTCATTTGAGCTGCGAGAGAGTTGAGATAAGACGACCTGAGGTTTTGTCTCCTACGGACGGTATGGTGTGCTTGGAGGTTGATCGACAGAGGAATCGTCTGTGTGTGGCGGAAGCTATTGCAAATGCTCAACGGATTGCTGAACTGGGAGATTTAGAGCATGCGCAGGCTGTGCTGTCAGAGCAGAGAATAGCTTTGTTATCTTCAGTCTCAGCCCAAGCAGGGGACCGCCTGTGCAACTGGCTTGAGGCAGAGCTGAGAGAAACCAAGCAGAGAATGGCAAATATGGAGTTATATGAACAAACTGGGCGGGCATATGTTCTCTCAGGGTTAAGCTCACACTCATGGCAGAGGGCCACAACTAGGGGCTACACAACAACAATCATACCGGGAGAAGGTGTAAATCCAGGCACTAGTGGGACAATCAGCTATGAAACTCCTTCGATGGTCAACATGGTGTCGAGATCACAGGTTCTCAATTATATATCCCCGCAACAACCCCAAAGGCTTAGCAAGTCATGCAGCCAGGTTCAACGAAATAAATAAGGGTGGTGTATATAGTCTAACTGGATAAGGCAGTTGTTTCACCAGCATGGTAGAGTGCTTCCAGGTTGGTAGCAGTAGTGATATGGAAATTCAACACGATGGTTGTATTTTTATTTCTTTTAGCGGGTTTTAGCTGTTCTTACTTTCGACTGTTCACAAAGTAGATTATGTTAAGTGGCTTTTATAGCGTAGAGACATTGCAGCAACAGATCTGATTGGTGCTGCTTGACTCCTTCTATGGTTTAATGCTTAAACATTTCTTCTTGTTTTATGAAAAACTGTAGTTTTATTGTACATGAGAATAAGGAGAGAGTACTCGGCTTAAGTAATAAGAGGAGGACAGCTTATGATGGTGATTCTCTCCTAAGTTCTCTTCCTGACCATTGCAGCAATGGTTCAAAGGTCTAATGTACTTTTGCCTGGCAAGAACGTAAATTGCCTAACCCATTGCCCTCTGCTGCTGTTCTAGATTTGGAGCAGTTAGCAAGAATTTGGTTTTCTTTCAGCTACTCTAGTGATAATTCATAGAAGCGATTAAGAGGAAGATGATTTGAGTGGTGGTCTGGCAGATGGCTTTGAAATTTCAATGTAGTTAATTTATCTTTAACACAAAATTAAAGAAAAAAATAAAAAAGGTTTTATTTAAGCTCACTAAAGACAAAAAAGAGGTTAAAACTTTTCTTTTCTCTGGGCATTAAAAAATAAAAAAACCAGCTAACCGTAAGTCGTCCTGGGAAGTCTAAGACCTCGGGAAAGAGAATGACAAAAGTTTCAGTTAGGGCCAAGTGCAACCCAATTATATCGTCTTCTTCGTCACTCTGTTTTTACTTTATCCTCTCGCGTAATTACTCCTTTCCCTTTTCTCCACTTCCTCCTCCTCAGCTTTGCTTCCCACACCATCTCTCCATTTTCGATGGAGTTTGAGGTGAGACACGTGGCAGGAATAGAGGACTGCTTCGTATCTCTTCCTCTCCTACTCATCCAAACCCTTCAATCCACCCGCTCTTCTCTCCTCCCTCCCCTTCTCGCTCTCGAGCTTCGCCTCCCACGCTCCTCCGACCACCCCTGGATCGTCGCTTGGTCCGGCGCTACTTCTTCTTCCACTGCTATAGAGGTAAACTAACACAATAACACTTGAACAATTCCTCGAGACTTTGATTGACTTGGGAATTTTTCTATTTTACAACTAATCTCTTTCTCCCCCCGCAATTTTCCTATTTTTCTTTGGCTATGAAGGTTTCTCAACAATTTGCAGAATGTATATCGTTGCCAAATCACACCACAGTTCAAGTACGAGCAGCTTCTAATATGGCTAAGGCTACATTAGTCACAATTGAACCTCATACCGAGGATGATTGGGAAGTTTTAGAGCTTAACTCTGAGCATGCAGAAGCTGCTATATTAAAGCAGGTATTCAACTATAATTATAATGAAGCAAATGATTGATGAATTTCGCTTACGCCCGAACTGAGAACACTTTAATAATTTTCTAATGGATTTTAAATACGTTATATGATGATTTCAACAGACTTAAATATTCGAAACACCTATTGTTGATTGTAGGTCAGGATTGTCCATGAAGGAATGCGATTTCCTCTGTGGTTGCATGGCCGCACGATCATAACTTTCCTAGTGGTTTCAACCTTTCCCAAGAAAGCGGTGGGTAAGATAATATTGATACGATTATTCTAATTGTAGCGATATAATTCTCTAGATGTTTGTAAAGCCATCGCTTCATTATAGAATTACTTTTATCTGCGTATTCATTTTACTTAGTTGTGAACATAGTGCGCAATTTTGTGTGGAAATTATTAAGAAATTATATGTGTTGAATCTTGCGAAGTGACAATGTTCATAAATTCACATATGCTTATTGAGAAATTATTTCTCATATGGCTGTTAAATCATGTCAACTGCAAAATTTGATCTTCACTTGGTGGGATATTTTTTTCTGACTTATGATATGCCTTTTCAGTTCAACTTGTCCCTGGAACAGAAGTTGCTGTTGCTCCAAAGAGACGTGAGAAAAATTTAAACAACATGGAATCGTCTACCAGAAAATCTCATGGTGCAAAAGCACTGCTACGTTTGCAAGATTCGGACAGAAGATTGTTTCACAAAAGCAATGTCAAAGGTGTTGAGCTTGGGGTAGCACTTACTTCTGTCGCCTTTATTCATCAAGTAACAGCTAAAAGATTTTCATTGGAGTCTCTTCAGTTGGTTGTTATAGTGCCAAGATTGTCATCCAAAGGGAGTGTGAAGAATCTGGAAAATGATGCCTTGAGAATGAAAGGAAGTTTAACTTCCAAGGAAGTAAATAGTGGAATTTCAACTGATAATAAGGAATTTCGTCAAGTGATTGTTCGCCTTTTAATTTCAGATTCAGTGGCTGAAGGACATGTGATGATTACTCACTCTCTTCGGCTTTATTTGAGAGCAGGACTACATTCATGTATGTTGAATCTTTCAAAGAATCAGTTACTCATATTACTTTATTTACCTCGGAAAGGTTTTCTGGCTTTCTTTTTATATCCTTGAAATAGTGGTTTAAGATGATTTCTGAATGGAAGTTTTTTTAATCATGTTTATGTGTTAGACCTGAAAAACTTTGAATCATCTGACAAGTTCTTTTGATGTATGCATCAGATGTCTTCCTGCCTATAATTCAAAGTTCATTCTTTGCTCCATTCCATAAAGAGTGCCCCATCGACATTGCTTGGTCTTTAGCGAATTCAATTAATGCAACGATAACCAATTCCTTTTAGCTTTTCTATTCTGAAATCACCTTTCCTCTCTCATTCAGGAGTAAATGTTTATTTACATACACACTATTGACATGGGAAATGCTTTTTGGATGCCAATTAACTGTGCCAGATTTCTAGTTTTAACGGGAAAGAAACTTTGTAAAATTGTGGATTTCATGATATATGTTTCTTTTGATTTAATGAATTTAGCATTTAGATTTCTTTTTGTAGATGCAACTTATAGGTGCAAATTTGTCATTGCTAAATTTTCCATTGTTTGCTTCTCTATCCAACTTAAGTGAATTCACCTTCTGTTCATGTCTTTCTTTTCATTGCTTTACTTCTGTTCAATGCCCATTCTTGCTTGTTTTACAAGGAGAGGAGAAAAAACTTATATTACTAGTTATTTTGTTGTTGTTGTATTGAAATTTCATGTACTTTGTCACTTTTCATATATGAATAAGGTTTCTGAAAGAAGGCTCCAATGCTTTCAGGGGTTTATTTAAAAGGGTATAATGTTGGTTTGAAGAAGGAAATTTCTGTACTGTCACTTTCTCCATGCCGCTTCAAGATGGTTGCAAATGATAAGGCTCTTGAGAATGGTCTTGAAGTGCTTGATGGCCATAAAACTCGTAGGATGAAAAACTCTGGTTCAGGAACCTCTTTGGAGGTAGTAAATTGGTCAACCCATGATGATGTTGTGGCTGTTCTTTCTTCTGAATTCCCTTTCCAAGAGGCTGAAGACTCCAGCCAGGAAGACACTAAAAAGGGCTTAGAATGTCTTCTTCGTGTGTGGTTTCTTGCTCAACTTGATGCCATAGCTTCAAATGCAGGGACGGAAGTTAATACGTTGGTTTTGGGGAATGAAAATCTACTTCACTTTGAGGTGAACAGATATGATTCTGGGACTTACGGACTAGTCTCATCTAATGGTTTTTCAGAAAAGAGAAATAAGACTAAGAATTTGCCAGTAGAAATTTCATACATATTGACCATTTCCGAGGAACCACTGCACGGTGGAAATTTTAATGCGTATGAGCTTGCCCTTGATGATAGAAACAAGAGGAATGGTGTTCAGGGTGGTTCCGAGTTGTTTGGAAAGCTAAATTTGGGTAACCCTATGTCCCTATATTCTGTTAAAGACAGAACATCTGTCAAGGGGTTTAGCACAAATGCATCTTCATTAAGCTGGATGGGTGTGACTGCATCTGATGTTATCAATAGTAGGTATTTTTCACTTTTAAAAATTTTCACATGTAAACAGAATTGGTTGCCAGTTACTTGATAGGAATTACTGGCAATGCTAATAATGTATTTCTTACAGTTTGCAGTACCTTGTTGTGTGAAGGTGCTTTTAGGGTCTTCTTAAAATTGTTATTGGTATCTAAAAGATTTTGTGTGCTGAGTTCAGTTTTATGCTAAATCTAATACATATTGAACCTGAGTCCCCCTTTGTTATCTCAAAGGGATGGCAGATAGAGAAAAATTTTATTGTCTTAAAGTGTTATCCTTGTGGGCAAGTAGGGACAAGTAGGGTAGCGCATATAACTTGTCCAAGGCTGAGCATGATAATGACTTTCCTAATACCAATTTGCTTTATTTCCCTTGGCATCAAGTTAAACTAAGATCTTATGGTATTATTTTTCCTAGTACCAATTTGCTTTATTTCCCCTGGCATCAAGTTAAACTAAGATCTTATGATATTTTTTAAGTTCTGTAGTTTTACCTTCACTTTGATCTGTGATTGATCCCAGGAATACAGCAATGTGATTTTCTGTTAGTTTTCTTAACAAATTTTAATATTGTGTGCGAAATGACACTAACTTTTCCTCTAGGCCTTACATGTAAGTGTCACTTTATTGTCGCAATTGGTTTTAAGTGGACATGTTCCCCTGACAAAAAACTACATGCAGGAATGATGGTGTTGTTAGCTCCTGCTTCTGGAATTTGGTTTAGTACTTACAATCTTCCTCTCCCAGGACATGTTCTAATATATGGACCTGCGGTAAGTTAATTCAATTTGTTGCTGCTTTGGAATTTGGTTTTGATCTGTACGGAATCAAGCTTTAAGGGGAAAATCTTTTAATGTTGGCTTTGGGGAGAAAGCAAAATGTTATAAACTCCCTTATTGCAAATTACTATCTTACCACACAACCTGCAATTTCTAATCTTTTCAAAAATAAACTAAAATTCTCAATAGTATCTTGTGGAGATCTTTTTGGTGTTGCAACTAGATATCACCTTATACTCAAACTTTGTTCTCTCTTTATGTTTTGTGATAAAGAGGTTGGTGCATAATTTTCTTTTGCCTTTTCTTTTTGGGATGACTCTTTGAAAGTATTTTGTTTAGAATCTACTTCTGCTGTTGTTCTTAAGAGTGTTTTGTTGTATTTAGTTGACATATAAATTTTATTATTCTTCCTAAATTAAAATTGGTATATTCTTTTGTATTAGGGTTCTGGAAAGACATTATTGGCTAGAGCTGTTGCAAAGTCCCTTGAAGAACATAAAGACCTGTTGGCACATGTGTAAGAAATTATTTGAAAATGCTTATGCATCTCTTCTCAATGTTGACATTTGGAAATGCTAATACTTATTGCTGACTCTGTGTGGAAATATCTTCATTGCTTTCTAGTTTCTAATTTCGATTGGTTGTTTCTAAGGGTGAAACCTCATTTTGATTTTGGTATGTGCATGCAGAATCTTTATATGTTGCTCAGGACTTGCTTTAGAGAAGCCCCCAACTATTCGTCAAGCGCTTTCAAGTTTTGTGTCTGAAGCTCTAGCTCATGCACCTTCAGTTGTTGTTTTTGATGATCTTGATAGTATCATCCAATCTTCATCTGACTCAGAAGGATCCCAACCTTCAACCTCAGTTGTTGCACTTACTAAATTTCTCACTGACATTATTGATGAATATGGGGTAAATATCTTTGTGATGGCTACTTGTTCCTTATATCCTTTACGGTTGCACTGAAGCCTGAACAGATGTTGATTTCAGTCTATTAAACTTGTCGTCTTGGTCCAAACATTTTTCCTTTTGACATCTTAAATGCATTTTGATTTGAATAATTCATGGATAGCCAATAGATTTTGTTGTTACATTGAGCAGGAAAAGAGGAAGAGCTCCTGTGGTATTGGTCCAATAGCTTTTATAGCTTCTGTGCAGACTCTGGAGAGTGTCCCTCAGTCTTTGAGCTCATCAGGTTTGTCTTTGCCTTTTTGATATTGGTTTTTGGATCCTGACCTTTTTTCACTTTTGTTAGCATTGTAATGAAACTTGGCTCTAAAAGTTCTTTCATATCCTCTTTTTCTCATACTCTGGATATTGATTCTTGAATTTGTTTATTATCAGGAAGGTTTGACTTTCATGTGCAACTGCCTGCACCCGCTGCCTCTGAACGTGGGGCCATATTGAAGCATGAAATTCAGAGGCGTTCCCTACAATGTCATGATGACATCTTACTTGACGTAGCTTCCAAATGTGATGGATATGATGCATATGATCTGGTATTTTTGTTTCTTTTGTGGTGTATATATATTTCTGCCTAGCATTTTTTTTCATACTTTAAAGGGGCATAAATGTTTGTTTTTTTTTCTTGTAAGTTTGCCATCATCTGTACATTACCAACATCTTTAGTTCTCTTGTTACTAATTTTCTCAATGTTTTAAATCTGCATGTAGTTTAAATTGGATATGCTAAGTTGTCCTGTGTGATATTTTAGGGGAAAGAGATTGCATGCTCTTTCAATATTGCTTATCCTAAAATAATGCATAAAAATATTAATCATTGATACAAAGGTATTTCTTCGTTTCAGGAAATATTGGTTGATAGAGCTGCTCATGCTGCCATTGGTCGGTTTTTGCCTTCTGATTCTGAAGAATACGTGAAGCCCATTTTAGTTAGGGAGGATTTCTCTCATGCTATGCATGAGTTCCTTCCAGTTGCCATGCGTGACATTACTAAATCTGCTCCTGAAGTTGGTCGCTCTGGTTGGGATGATGTTGGTGGTCTCAATGACATTCGAGATGCTATCAAAGAGGTGCAAGTCTCCTTCTGGCTTTCTAAGTTGCCTATGGTTATTTTTAATCAATATGAGGATTATGCAGGTTATATTGTTTCACTGATTTGCTTCTAGTATAAGCTAGAATGAAAACTTCATTCTTCTCTATTGGCCCCAGCATGCTTATCTTCTTTATTTATGTGAAAAGAGAATATGACAAACTGAACCTTTTATTTTTACAATTTGGTCCTAAAATGGTAGTACTTTCTTTTGATAGATTTAGTCAGGTTTGCAAAAAGACTTTTAACTTCTTATGTTTGCAAGTAGGATCTTGGTATGGGCTGATTTGAATGGGATTATGCTTTAGCAGTTAGCACTTTGTCACCCTGCTATTGGTATCGTTAAAATAATTGGCTTTTAAGACTACCATCAAAATAATGTCTTTATTTATCATTTCTATTATTTATTGCTGCTATGTCCAAAATTCATCTTCTGATGCTAACATATTCCCTAGCACTCATCACTTGATTCCAATCTGAAAGTTTCTTATTCTATATTTGTTGCTAATACTTTTATGTCAATGGCAGATGATTGAAATGCCTTCGAAGTTTCCGAATATATTTGCACAAGCTCCTTTAAGGTTGCGGTCTAATGTTCTTTTATATGGTCCTCCTGGCTGTGGTAAGACCCACATTGTTGGTGCTGCTGCTGCTGCTTGTTCACTAAGATTTATAGCGGTGAAAGGGCCTGAGCTACTGAACAAATACATTGGTGCCTCTGAGCAAGCTGTAAGAGAAGAAAATTAAGCCTTTTGGCTGTTACTGTCGTTTATCAATGTCGTTTGTTTCTTGATATGCCAGTAATATTTATTATGAGTAAAAGCCAATTTATAGAGAATAGCTGATCTAAACAATAATTTTCCAATAAGCCATGTTTGCATAAAGTGCATGTATTGTTAGAAATTATGTTGCCTAAAATGAAATGGAGTGGCAAGTTCATGTTACTTGCTCTGAGGATTAGATTGAAGGGTTTGGGAACCCAGAACATATAATTGTGGTATAAACCTGCAAATTTGTAGTATTATTAACTTATTCTAGAGTTACGGGACCAGGATGCTGAGTTGTACAGACATTGTGCTTTATTAACTAAGAAGACCAGCTCATCATTATGCTCTGGAAATATGTTAAATGCATTTCTACTGAAAAATGTAACTTACAGTGAATGTTTAATGCCTATTTTATCAGGTTCGAGATATTTTTTCAAAGGCAGCTGCTGCAGCGCCATGCCTCCTCTTTTTCGATGAATTTGATTCCATTGCACCTAAAAGAGGGCATGACAACACTGGAGTAACTGACAGAGTTGTTAATCAAGTCAGTATATTTTGCTTACCTCATTCTATAATTTTGTCTTAACCTTGACGTCTCATTGTTATAATCTTTTGAAACAGTTCCTAACAGAATTAGATGGTGTTGAAGTTTTGACTGGTGTATTTGTGTTTGCTGCAACGAGGTTAGTTTTCCTGTGGAATCATGTTTTATTATTTTGATATTCTTCTTTGGACATCAATAATTATATTAATCTCCAGTTAAAAACATCTTTGTTGATGATGTTATTAAGCATGGTTCACAAATTAGGCATTTTCCCAATGCATATAGATGTGGGAGTTGATGACTCTCAACTACTAGATCTTGACGGATTTAATTTGACATGAGATGCATGACCAATAGAAGATAGCTGTGCCAATAGAACAGATTTTGAAAAAATATATAAGTTTCCCGATTTCTAGATTTTACATAAATATATGAATTTCGTATTTCATTGTTTTTCTAATTAGTTGGATGCCTTTCATGAAACTTGACTTGAATTCTTGTATCAAGCAGTAGACCAGATCTGCTTGATGCTGCATTGCTGAGACCAGGTAGGCTCGATCGCCTCCTTTTCTGTGATTTTCCATCTCAGCGTGAGAGGTTGGATGTTCTGACTGTTCTTTCAAGAAAGGTTAGTGATACTTGTTAATCAATGTATAATTTAAATTTTTATTGCCTCATTTTCTTATGCTTCCTTCCTTTACCTTTTGTTTTATCGTACTAAGTGTAAAGTTCTCCAGACACTGATGCTTCCCAGAAGTTCATTTTCATATGTTCATTACTCTGTTAACATATGTAGCACATTGAAGAACGAAAATATGTTGCTACTTATGGAATTAGAAATTTAACTTGATTTAATGTTTTTACGTGTCTTTCCTTTGTAATGTTTCTTTGCTTTTGTACAAATAATGCAGCTACCATTAGCCAGTGATGTTGATTTAGGCGCCATAGCTTGTTTGACAGAAGGATTTAGCGGAGCTGATCTCCAAGCTCTTCTCGCAGACGCACAGCTTGCTGCAGTTCATGAACATTTGAGCAGTGTGAGCAGCAATGAGCCTGGAAAAATGCCAGTCATAACTGATGGTGTTTTGAAGTCTATTGCTTCAAAGGCAAGACCATCAGTTTCAGAAACCGAGAAGCAGAGACTTTATGGCATCTACAGTCAGTTTCTGGATTCAAAGAGATCCGTTGCTGCACAGGTCATTCTCTCTTACAAACACATTTTCTTCTATAGATTTCAACTTGTCACATTAGTCACTCACTGAACTTTAAACAACTGATTGCAGTCGAGGGATGCAAAAGGCAAGAGGGCAACTCTGGCATGAAAAATAATACCAATAGACAGTCATAGCTGCCCATTTTTCGTGGAACGGAAAGAGCGATGTGGGATGTCTTTTTCTTTTTCTTTTCATTTTCATACGTCATTCTTTCAAATATGAATCACTGTAGGTTGAGGATAGATTTGTATTGCCATTGTGCGTGTGTTAGAAAACTGTATAGTGTTCATTGCTATGGAGGTTGCTCTTTGATTAGTGCCGTTGGATTGAAACATCGGCCGATAGGATAATGGGCTGAAACGGGCATGTAAGCAGTTAAGAGCCTTGAACTTAAGACTCGTCTAAGGCCGTGGCCATACGATCTCGGCCCCAACTGGTTTTTTAAGGTAAAATTATTTCAATTTTATTGTAAAACTGAATGTTCCTTAAGAACAATGCAAATTCCTCGTCCAAATAAATAGAAGGCCAACGATTACTTGGACTATGCTGGGGAAATATGTTTCTTAGCTTCATTTGATGATTAACGCATCACAAGTTTTTGGCTTTTAAATATTAAAGGCCTAAGCTGTGTTTTGGACTTATAAATGAACATAATTAAACCATGTAGGATGATAAATGCTCATTTTCCTTTTTATGTAACAGTTATATGCGTTATTAATTATTTACATATTTTAATCTAACACTATAATTTGGTACATTTACTTTTTTATTTTAATGAGCATCAAAATATAAATAATAATATTAATATTTCTTAAAAAAATAAACGGACTTGAGAAATAATCAAGGCTGAGCGACACGGACGCGCGCCCGGGAGCAGACAAAAGAGTCTTCAGTTGTCGTTTTACTGGTAGGTAGTCTTAGAAACTGTTTACTCTTTGAGTCTTCTTTCTCTTTCAAAACTTTTCCGACCCAAATTCAATGGCGTTCTCTTCCGCTATCCCCTAACCAATGGCCAAGCCCAAGTCTCGCACCGCCGTCGAGCCCTTGGCTCACTTCGACCTCCCAACCCCCAACCTTTCTATCCGCTCCCTCTCTCTTTCGCAATCCACCCTCTACGTCGGCACCCAGAACGGCTACCTCCTTTTACTCTCCCTAAATCCTAACCCTAACTCAACCACAAATCCACCTCCGATCGAATCCGTTTCTCCCTCTTCGCTTTCCCGAAACGTTTCCCTTCTCCGCACCGTTCCGCTTTCTGACTCTCCCCTGGAATCAATATTCGTGCTCGCCGAGATCGGCGTCGTTTTAGTATTATCCGATGGCTTCTTGTTTTTAACGGATTCGCTCTTGATCCAGCCCGTTAAAAAATTAGGTGGTTTAAAAGGAGTTACAGTAATTGCTCGGAGATTCCGAGGAACCCATTCTCAAAGCACCGATTTAACCGATACTACATCGAATTTATCAAAAGGGCAACGGATTTTGGATAAATTTGGAGGGGTTAGGGCAAATGGAGTGAAAACAAGTGTATTAGAACAGAGACGAGAAGGTAGTTCTGTGTTTGCCCTTGTTATTGGTAGGAAATTGATGTTAATAGAGCTTGTTTTAGGCAGTAGTTTTTTAAATGCTTCTTTTGTGATTCTAAGAGAAATGCAATGTTTTGATGGAGTAAAGTCTATGGTATGGTTTGATGATTCCATAATTGTTGGCACGATTAATGGATATAGTTTGTTTTCGTGTGTTACGGGGCAAAGTGGTGTGATTTTTTCATTACCCGATTTATCTAGGCCGCCGTTGTTGAAGCTTTTGTGGAGAGAGTGGAAGGTGTTGTTGTTAGTGGATAATGTAGGGGTGGTTGTCGATGCACTTGGGCAGCCAGTTGGAGGGAGCTTGGTGTTTCGTAAGGGTGGTCCGGATTCAGTTGGGGAGTTGTCATCGTATGCTGTGGTTGTAAGGGATGGGAAGATGGAGCTGTATCATAAGAAATCAGGTAATTGCATTCAAACGGTTACTTTTGGTGTTGAAGGAGTTGGGCAGTGTATTGTTGCGGATGAGGAAAACAGAAGTGGGGAAGTTGTTGCTGTTGCTACTCCCACTAAGGTATGTGAACCATGGTAGTGAAATTATGCTAGTTTGCTACTGTTTAAGTAATCTTAAATTATCACATTGCTTCAAATCTGCATATGATTAATAAAATCCTACTCCTACATATGCACTTTCTATTAGATGTGAGGTTTGGATCTTGAAATTGATTTTGTGAGTACATATTTACGTATACTCTAGGAAATGTTGGCATACTGCTTGAAAAAGGCTATTGGCAACTTGATGGCTGATGGTTTGCATTTCAAGGTTCAAGATATATTGTGGATATATTAATATTGGTAATTAGAGCTAGGTCCATCAAATTTACTATGCTGCATAAGTTATCACTTCTTAGAGAATTAACTTCTTTGGTCTGGGCTGACTGTTGAACGAATTGTGAGTATGTTTGTGGCTTAGGCTGCTTTTCCATGCTAGGTTTAGGTTTCATGACCCCAGTGGCAACCCATATACATTTTTATGCTTGTTAATTGTAATAGAGTTTTCATACATCATCCTGTTTAGTGCTAAATATTTCCAGGTCATTTGCTATCGGAAGGTGCCATCTGAAGAACAATTAAAAGATCTGTTGAGAAAAAAGAATTTCAAGGAATCCATCTCCTTGGTGGAGGAGCTTGAGTGTGAAGGTGAAATGTCTAAGGAAATGCTTTCCCTCTTTCATGCTCAAGTGGGTTTCCTTTTGCTTTTCGACTTGCACTTTGAGGAAGCAGTGGATCACTTTTTGCAGTCAGAGACAATGCAGCCTTCTGAAGTATTTCCGTTTATAATGCGAGACCCCAATCGCTGGTCTTTACTGGTATGTCTTTTATATTTGCATTTTTTGACAGTTTGATTTGTACATTCTGCAGTAGTTCATATGATTTTGGGGGATAATATGTTGATCATTATATGCTACACCTTGTCACTATTGTAAACTAAATATGGGCTATTTAGTGTCCCACTGAAACTAATTATTTACTCAGATTATAAGTATAGCTGGTCAATGAACAAAGAAGCTACTCTTTTGCATTGTTTGATATGATTTGAATTGCTGAATGAGCATTCTCTTTTGATCTCTGCTTGCGTGAAACATGTTGAACTCCTTGGCTCCTTATGCAAGTTTTTTAAGGTTTGTTGTCATAGCAGTTGCATTGACTTTTTCAGGTTCCTCGAAACCGGTATTGGGGTTTACATCCTCCTCCTGTACCTCTTGAAGATGTTGTAGATGATGGGTTGTTGGCTATACAAAGAGCTATTTTTCTCAGAAAAGCAGGTGTAGAAACTGTGGTTGATGAACGATTTCTATCGAATCCACCAACCAGGGCTGAATTGCTGGAGTCTGCAATTAAAAACATGATCAGGTGCCCTTCCAGCTTAGTATGTTTTCGTGCTTTACTTATAATAGTTACTTCTTTTTCGGCTCTCTCTCTCTCTCTCTCACTTAGCCAGGTGAAGCTATTGGGACTCTGTGTGTGTGTATGTTGGGAGGGAGGGTTATGGAATGATTGACTTCCAATTTTGATATAAATATAATCATTTTGTTGTTCCTCTTTTAGTATTCTTTTCAGCAAGGTCTTGTGGCTGAAAATGTCCTCAAACATTGTTCTTAGTCTTTGTTCCATGGAACAGGTATCTAGAGGTTTCTCGTCAGAAAGATTTGACTTTGTCAGTGAAGGAGGGGGTTGATACACTTTTAATGTATCTATATAGAGCCCTAAATTGTGTTGATGATATGGAGAAGCTGGCATCTTCTGAAAATTGTTGTATTGTGGTATGTGCTTCCTTGTTCTTTGCTTATTTTATTTTTAAATTCCTAAGTTAATACTTTTTTGTATTTTAATTACTCAACTCTTGGTATATAGATCATGGTTGGTCTTACTCTTCTATTTCACTTAAAGGAAAAAAAAAGAAAATTTAACAAACGCAGCATTTTGTTAAGCTTATTTGAATATATAGTAAAAAAGATTAATTGGGCATGATTGTAGCTTTAAAATTAGAATTTTAGTGGTCCGACAAATTTTTTCCCTTGTCAAAACAAAAAATGATGGACTTTTTGGTCAAATAAATGAAAATCTGCTGTCAAGTTGAACATCTTTTTGGGCTTGGTTCATCAATTAAATGCTAGTTTTGTAAACAAAAGACACTAAGAGATAAGTATCTCATTCTCACATGAATTAAGTATGTATTTCTTAAGCTGGAATGGAAGCAGTAACTGGTATGGGAGATTGGAACCATTCCAGTTCTTTTGGGTTGAATACTTTTGGTTCTTGGTTAGCTGTAGTCAAGTTCTAATTATGGCTCTAGGTCTAGAGCAATGCACTATGTGCAAAAAAAACGTTGATAAAATGTGGAATCTTAGTATTCCAATGCATTGGAAAACAGAGAGAGACCGTTGTCAGGAGGTTGCTTGAAGGATGACTGTACAACTTGCATGGGCAGTGCAGGAGGAGTTAGAAACTTTATTAGATGGCTCTGGGCATTTGCGGACACTTGCCTTCCTATATGCTAGTAAAGGGATGAGCTCAAAGGCTCTTGCTATTTGGCGCATCTTGGCGAGAAATTATTCATCTGGTCTCTGGAAGGACCCTGCTGTGGAAAATGGTGTACATGATGGCAGTGCATGTATAGTATCTGGCAGGGAGACTGCTGCAACTGAGGCATCAAAGATTCTTGAGGATTCGTCTGATCAAGATTTGGTTCTGCTGCATCTTTCATGGGTGTGTAGTAGTATTTCTTATGAAAGATTTTATTTTCATAATATCTTGAAATTGAAGGTGTTGTGCTCCTTGAACTTAATGGTTAATTATGGAACTTGGAAATTGCTTATCAGATAGCAGACATAAACCCAGTCCTTGCCGTTCGAGTTTTGAAATCAGAAAAAAGAACCAATCAGTTTTCACCAGGTGGGCGTCATTTTAAGCCAATAATTTTTCTATCGATTATGGTTCTGGCACATGGTCAATTACATTTTGGGATTGACATGCACAGTATTTATGTTATTGTGCAGTGACACTAAGTGTTTTAGCTGTAAATTTTGTTTCTGGATGATGCACAATTTATTAATTAGTTTCTTGCTGCAGATGAAGTGATTGCAGCAATTGATCCAAAAAAGGTTGAGATTCTCCAACGGTACGTTCATATCTCAATTTATGGATTGTACTTCCAAAGTGTTATAATTAATGGTTGCACTTTTGGCTTCTAGGATCTTCTCTCAACATTTTAGTTACGTTATACATGGGGTTTGGCAACTCCTGCTTATTCAGCTTGTCTTGAAATATTTCAAGTTTTATCATCATTTCACCTTTCTATCATACATTCATACTAATAAACACAATTGTTTTGTTTGGGTATAGTATTCTCCTTGTTCATGTAAGCTCTTTAATTTTTTAATATACAAGTTTTCCTTCTTATTAGCATTAGATGTGACCTTCACTGCATTGATTTTGCATTGAGCTTCCTTATCCATGC